ATAACATTACCTAGACTTGAGGAATGCGTTGAAAATTTCAATAGCTTTGAATCAAACTTTAAATTATATTTCTACCAATTTCCGTGCTTCCAAGATACTTGTGTCTAAAGATATACCCGTTTATATAATTCGCGGGTAGTTGTGCCACTCTTTTCTGATAGTAAAGTTATACTTTCAAATGTTAAAATTGGTAACTTTGTAAAAGGATTTTTTGAAAAGATTTTTGTTGTTATTTTTTTAGACAACATTTTTCCTTTAGTAATGCTATGTGATATATGTACAACAAACCTAATTTAATGATTCTTGAGGTTTCCTAGAGGAAACCGCGAACGCCAGGAATTCAGTTACAAAACCAAAGAAAATAGGACCAGTAAATCTAAAAACTCCAGGGAGTCACTAATAAAGTATACTGGTATAGTTGTGACCAGTGGAGAAACTACAAAGGATTGTTTCGTTTCGTTCCTTTGTGCATCGTAAATTGTGTCCATTTCGGCGCATGTGGTCCTCCTCGTACATAAATTAAGTGTGTGGACGGCTCTGTGCTGCAAAAATCCTAACGAATTCGAATCTCTTTTTTTTATTTATTTATTCGGCCGAAAAGTCACTACTCCTGCATTCGTGACGAATTACGAGGTCGATTGAGTTCGTCGAGCACCCTGTAATACGTCACAACGTTTCGAAATAAGATTCAAGCTGCAGGGTCTGGGTCATCCAAATGGAATAATCGGGTTGGCGACCACCTCGCGGGAAACTTCTGAACGTCGCTTTGTGGTGACCCTGAGTCATTGCTTCTCCTTCTTCGTATTTCTTGATCACGAGCAGAAAACTCTCGGGGATATACGTACACACACGACCACCAACTACTACGAATCACCAAAAATGAATATGAAATTTTTATGACGGCCCCCCAGCAGCAGGCAGGCAGACAACAAAACATGACGTCGTGTTTTATTTAGAGCGAGAGGATTAAAATTGGGATGATGGTCAGGGATCGAAAGGGCAAATAAACAGAAACTTTCCCAACATTTTGGATTGTTTCAGAAAACAAATACCGTAAAACCTGTGATAGAAGGGCTGTCAAGTTTGAGCTCGATAATCTTAGTTCCTATGCAAGATATCAAAAAGTTGTCAACTGATAAATTGTTTATAAAAATATCAAAAACATTTTATCAGTTGACAACTTTTTCATATCTAAAGTTGTCAATGTTGGGGCCCTTCTATTACAGGTGTTACAGTGATAATGAATTTCAAAAAAGTGGTAACATTGTTATGATAGTGAAATGATCAAGCTGAAAATGTTTTGTGCTTTGATTCAGTATTCATCTCGGATCATCTGGATTTCTATTCCTTAAAAATTAATAATAAGGAAGTCTTTGAGAATTCCCAAATAGGTATCATACTGTTGGAATATATATTGGAGGGATGAGAAATTTATTCGGCTTACTGTAATAATCCCAAACTTTCAGAGAAACCTGAAAAAAAGATGAAGTGAATGTTCAGCAACTAACTCCTGCGGGACCTGTAAAAGCTTGTATAAAATTTAGGGAACATTATTTTTGAAATCAAGAAATACTATGGAAATTCAAATTTCTCACACACACAACGATTTTCTATCAAATCACATATTTATCCGAGTTTCATAGTGAAGAAGTGAATGTCAAAAATATTTGAGTTCTATTTGGAAAGTTCTAGCCACAACGATCCAAAGAGACTTGGCAACTTCTGGATGGTGGCCAGATTCCGGATAAGGCCGTTAAGCAAGAAGAATGAACTCTGACAAACTTATGACAATGTTCCAACCAAGTAGTATTTCAACTTCAATTTCCGAAAGAATCTGATCATGGCCCGCTATACAGTTGTTTTTGGGCAAGCTCCGAACAGAACCTGGCCCAGATTCGTACAAAAGACCATCACCTGAGGACGTCGACCGAATTGAAGTAGTCGAATTAAAAACACGCTTTAGAATGGCAAGGAGAGTTCCAAAAGCCAAAAGTTCATTTATTGTAATTTCATCGCTTTACTTTTTCCATTACTTTATTTTTCAACCAGATTTTTAAATTTTTCTCCAGGGTGCTAGTAATCTTTTCCAGATTCAATTATTTTTTGTTATGCTTATTTTCAGGTTTTCGTTATTTTTCAAATGTTGATCCTAGATACAGTAAACGGTCGTAACACGTTTTCTAACTTATTGTCGAATTGAAAAAAAGTGACACCTGATAATTTGAAAACTTTTGCTTTTTTTGATCTACGAAAAAGTGCGGTAAAAACGTAATATTTCAGAATTTCGGCTCGTTCGAGCTACTTTCGTGTTTAATTTTAGTTTTTTGCTTAAAAATAGATTCTAGAGATGCTAGCGATCATTTTCCTACCAAGAAATCAAACTTTTGTTCAGAAAATCCCACTAAATTCACATAAATAAATTTGTTATCCGTTTTCGCTCCGCCCCCTCGTAAATCGACACGTGCGCCGTCTCCCAGATTTTCAGGTGTCACTTTTTTTAATCCGACAATACTGTCATACGACGAATTGACAGCACAACCGGAAGACTACCAAAAAACTAAAAACGCGCGCTTTGTCGCACACAAAAGTTGGCTGTGTGCCAGATACGAAAATTTCATGTGATAACGAATATTTTCAAAAAAAGAAACAGATGCGAATTAGCGATTGAAAACAGCGATGGAAAAGAAAACGGAGCTCATCTAAGACAGCCTTCTGAGACGGAAAATTTGCACTTCAATTTTTCTGGTAAACGGACTGACAAAAACAATTTCTACGGACGGACACCGGACCAAAATTTTTCCACGGACGAGGGACACGGACAATTTACAGCCAAAAATGACAGGACAACGGACTGTCCGTGCAATTCTAGGCCGAGCAAAAAAGAAAACACGAGAAACCACCGACGAAGAAAAAAAGAAGCGAAGAAGCGCGCAAGAAATAAAGAAAAAGAAAAATCACAAAAATAAAGAGTTCGCGAAGTTCTCGAAGTTTTGACCGCATGATGCCGACTCGAAATCTCGTGACGTCCGTTATCTGAAATATTCGTTTTTTTTTTGAAAATTCTCGTAGTAAAAAATTCTTTAACTTGGAAAATTACTAAATTAAGTTTTGAAATGTCAATTTCCTCACCTTTCCTTTTTCGCTACTCCTTGTCATTTAGATTCTTCCTATCCTGCCGATCCTGAAAACCTCCACGGTAGCTGCCCTCGAATTGCCCGAAGTCGCCGCCATGCAGCGAACTAAAAATACTGAGTTACCCGTTTATTTTAAAACCTGGACTTTGCCAACATTTTCGTATCAATGTGTTTTTTTTGGAATAAAAATGTTATAGTTTGCTATTTGCTCATAAAAATTTCCACAATTTGTGTATCCAAATTTACAAAATGGCATGTTTCTACCCAAAAACCAGAAAAGCTGAATTTCCAAACTCGAACTTTTTTTCAATTTTTTTTTCGTGTGAAAACTCCCATCTCCTCTCCTTTCATTTTAAACAACTCCTGTTATTTGGAATTGCGAAAATGCGGCCAGCTAATCCTGGATCCTGTCCTCGAAGCTGTTCTCGAACTCTTCAAAATTGATCCATCCCGAACTCCAAGCATCTCCTGGAACTTAAACGTTGAAAACTAAACACTCTTCGCCCATTTCCTCACCTTTCATTCCACTCTGCTAACCCTGCCAATTGGTTCCAAATCGTACCAATCCAGGAGACATCGCTGGAAGTCCTGGAAGTTGTTCTATCACGGAGACACCAAGAAGCTCCTGAAGTTAGAACGTTGGAAATAAAATCTGAAAATTCCTAATTGCTCACCTTTTCCGCTACCTCTGCCAACTGGATCCAAATCTTGCCAATGCTAGAAACATCTCTGGGGGCCGAGGTTGTTGCAGTCCTGGAAGTCGAAGTCTTCGAAGGTGATCCATCCCGAACACCAAGCAGCTCCTGAAAGTTGAACGTTGGAAACTTTACCAATGCCCATTTCCTTACCTTTGATTCTGTTTTCTTGCCAATAAAGCATCCCTTGGAGTCCTGGAAATCGCTGCGCCACGGAGGTACCTAAAAGCCCTGCAATCTCCTGCAACTTGAACGTTACAGACTGAGTACTGATTGTCCCTCCTTCTTCCACACCTCGGACCTTGGCCTCTCTTTGTGAGGTTTTCACGGAGGCCACATTAAATTATAAAACAAAAGAGTTTTCGTGAAAAATTAATTTTGACCCAATTTTTTTCTCATATTCTTTTTAGATTATCTCCTCGATATTGTTTGGAGTAAAAAAGTTGTATTTTTAAACCTTAATTCTGTATATCTTTTGGGTCCAAACAAAAAAATTGCAGAATGCTTGTTTGTGACATTTTTCATCCATTTGTTTGTAGATGAAACCTTAAAAGTCGTCTGAAAATACCGTAAACACTGATAGAAGGCCGCCCAATGCTTGCACTTTAAGCTCAATCTCGGTTGCTATAAGAGATATCAAAAAGTGATCAATTAAAAAATGTTGTTGAAATCATAATGAATAATTTATCAGTTTGCCGCATTTTGATATCTTCGACAGGAATCGAGATAATTGTGCTCAATGGTTTGAGCGGACATTAACATGAATACGGTAGTTTCGAAACTTGAAAGACGTCCGAAAATAATAGTGGTTTATAGAAGAAGAGTCAGGTTGTTAAGATGCTCATGACAAAGCTAAGGATACCAATGTGAAAATTTGGTCTCAAATTATCTGTTCTAAATATCAGTTGTTGAAAAAATGTAGTTAATAAAAAACTAGCTCAGAATTGCTCTGATTCTCAGAATTTCAGAATGTTGGTATTGTTCGGAACCTCTTGTAAAGTTTTCCCATCGCCATCATCTAATTTAAAACAAGTTATACAATAGAAACAAGATAGTACAATTAAATACGAATTTATTTTGAGCAATAAGGCATCTGTGCAATTATCTAGACATCCGTAATAAAACCAATCAAAACGTTGTATGGGTTTGAAAGAGATATAAAAATTCGAGATTAATGAAGTTCTGGAGCATCGCAACGGTCGCCTTCGTGCTCCGAAATGTATGGAAGACGTTTGGATTTGTACAGGAGCATCAACCAAAACACGATGTTGAATACGATGAACTGAAATTTTGAGATATCAGAGAATTCTAAATTTTTAGAAATTTCTTACCACGATAGGAAAAGCGGCACGACTGACGATGTCAATGTGACTGTGACTGACACAGAAACGATTCGGTTGTTTGATTACTGCAATGATAGAGGTGGGAGCCGCGTTGCATGTGCATTCTGCGAGACGGATATCTGGAAGTTTGGAAGTTGGGATGGATAAATATTTGTATTTAGTGATGCCTTATTTCTAAGTTGTTAGCTATTAACCTGTATATCTTGGTTCCTGTAAAAGATATCAAAGAGTGGTAAACTAGCAAAATTGTTATCATAATATCAATAACATTTGAGATTTTGTTTCAAAATTAGTTTTCCCTCTATCAGAATCCTTACCATGAAGAATATCCGGAGTAGGCGGAGCCGGTTTGTGCTCCATCTTCTTTTCTCGCCTCCGACGATCCTCGTTCTTCTTTTTGGAGTATGCAACACACGCGTATTCAATCAACGCAAGAATCACTAAAAGATAGCAGAAGCCAAGAAAAACATCAACAGCTTTCACATAAGCAACTGGAGGTAGACGTCGATTGGTTCCTGTCATCAGATGAGTCTCAGTGAGAACCGTCATCGTGCCGATGAGAGTACGAGAGGGCGCCGAGTCACGATTGATCCAGAATGAGATCTGAAACTCAGGAACTGAGGAAGAATGGATAGGAATGGGTAGGTACCCATGATAAAACAACGACCAGACTGGCAGGAAAAAATATTTGAAGAAAGTAGAAGCCGCTGTCGCGATCAAATATGAAACTAACCCGTAGACGGGAGTATGTCCCTGGAAAAAAATTATTGACAAAAGAACAAAATTTTTATCTCATTAAAATGCTTTAAAATTTATGTATTTTCAAAATATCACTTCGAAAAAATTTAAAAAAAAACCGAAATCCCCGAAAAACACCGTTGAAAATAAAGAAAATGTGTCGAGGAGGGACGAGAATTCGAATTCCCGCGCAACGAGAAACCTAGGCCACGGCCGCCGGACGCCTTTTTTCCGACTGATGTGAGAATTTTTCCGGTCTTTTACATGATGATGAAAACGGAATAAGAGCCGGAAAATTACTTGACAAAGGTGTCCCGTATTAATAACCGAGGTTTCTCACTGCGCGGGAAATCAAATCTTCGTTCTTATTTGCCACTTTTTTTCAAAAATTCAAAAATTCAAAAATTCAAAAATTCAAAAATTCAAAAATTCAAAAATTCAAAAATTCAAAAACTCAAAAATTCAAAAATTCTAAAATTCTAAAATTCTAAAATTCTAAAATTCTAAAATTCTAAAATTTTAAAATTCTAAAATTCTAAAAATCAAAAATTTAAAAATTCAAAAATTCAAAAGTTTAAAAATTCGAAAATTCGAAAATTCAAAAATTCGAAAATTTAAAAATTCAAAAATTCAAAAATTCAAAAATTCAAAAATTCAAAAATTCAAAAATTCAAAAGTTTAAAAATCGAAAATTCAAAAATTCAAAAATTCAAAAATTCAAAAATTCAAAAATTCAAAAACTCAAAAATTCTAAAATTCTAAAATTCTAAAATTCTAAAATTCTAAAATTCTAAAATTTTAAAATTCTAAAATTCTAAAAATCAAAAATTTAAAAATTCAAAAATTCAAAAGTTTAAAAATTCGAAAATTCTAAAATTTTAAAATTCTAAAATTCTAAAAATCAAAAATTTAAAAATTCAAAAATTCAAAAGTTTAAAAATCGAAAATTCAAAAATTCAAAAATTCGAAAATTTAAAAATTCAAAAATTCAAAAATTCAAAAATTCAAAAGTTTAAAAATTCGAAAATTCGAAAATACAAAAATTCGAAAATTCTAAAATTCTAAAATTCTAAAACTCTAAAATTCTAAAATTCTAAAATTCTAAAATTCTAAAATTCTAAAATTCTAAAATTCTAAAATTCTAAAATTCTAAAATTCTAAAATTCTAAAATTCTAAAATTCTAAAATTCTAAAATTCTAAAATTCTAAAATTCTAAAAATCAAAAATGGCCTAGGTTTCTCACTGCCGGGAATTCAAATCCTCTATCCTTTTCGCCACTTTTTTTGCACGATTATCACTGTCGGAGTTTCCCCTTTAAAAAAACCCCAAACCAACCCGATGAAGTGCTGGCAAGTGTCCGTTTCTGGCATATTTTCGTAAACTGATAGCTCGACAATTCGATATTTGCGTCGGCTTTCACCGCTGACGCACAATTCGGCTCCTTCGAAGTACACCAATTGTACTCGATCTCGGCCGTTGAATATGCATCTGAAGACGTTTGTTTTTGTTTGGGATGAGCATTCTGGACACATTTTGTAAGCAGCAAATATCTAAACTATAAGAGCAAAGAGAAAAACGCCAACAGAATTACGACTAGTTTTCATAAGGAAAAGCAGCACAACGACTACAAAAAGACAGTCAAATATGGCACAAATAAGAGAAAATTTGGAAAAACACGGCACCGGACGAAATCATGTGTACAAATGAAAGCTTCTTAAAAAATGAGGAAGAGAAAGTTATATACAGAAATGGTTGATTTGGGACCAAAATGACATGCTTTCGGGGGGAATGAGAGAATATATCTATGCTGGCAGGCACACACACAGAGAAGATCACATGGGTTTTTTGATGATGTGGAAATTTGGACGTCATCTGGGGCTGAGGTTATTCTGGAAGTTTCTGGGAAATGGGGGGTTGCACTGCAAATCAAAAACATGCCCGAGAAGAAACAACAAGCCGATTGCACGTTTAGGGAAGGTAACAACGAGAAAGGCGATTTAAAAAAGAGTGAGAAAAAAGTGAAAGATAGTTCTTTTTTGTGTTGGAATGGCGGGAATATAAGGGGGGAAGTGTTCACCAGTGGATGTGCTGCCACTTGTCGTTTTCCTGGATCTTGTCCGATGAGTTTAGACTCAGATATTTCATGTACAACCAATAGACAACTGAAAAGAAATGGAAAATATAGAAAGGTAGAGAAAAGGGACAGACCATTGAAGACGGAGAAAGATAGTGGGAAACAGTATCGACTCAATTTGTCGATTTTTGCAGGCGTCCATCGTTGGCAGCATGTTTTTGAAGCCTGAAAAGGGATGGCTTTTTTGAGCTAACTTTTGAAAGATCTGCTGATTTCATAACCTTCGTTTCTCAGGCGATCAACTTTGTAGTTCTATATTTGTTTATGATTTCGTAGTCCCGAACCTCACACAAGACATTTCAGTGAATGTCCAAAGTCATACCTCTCTACAAATGTTTAGCCTTCTGACTTAAAAAATACAGTACAGGATGGCGCATAATTCACGTACTCAATTTTGACCTAGCATAAAAATTGGGCAAAGAGTTGTACTCGACTCAAATTTAGACTACAATAATTCAAATACTTCATCAGTAAACTGGCCAAATTTCAAACTATCAACTTAGAGCTAAAAATCAAAATCCTTAACTTTCCTTTATTTTCAATGGTTCATAACTTTTTTCTTGGCAATCTACAGAAAGAACTAAAAACTACAAAAATGTAACTTTTTGTTTAATTTATAATACGTTTTTAACAAAATTTTGAAAATTTTTAATTCTGAATCCGCACGGCTTCATCCAACGAATGACCAACCGGGTGGCGCATAACTACCAGGACTCAAGTTTGGTCTAGCATAACATTTGAGTGAAACGCTCTACTGGGCTCAAATTTAGAGTGCAAAAATTCAAATGATTCATCTGTGAACTGGAACAGTTTCAAATCTTATAATCTACCTTGAGCTGAGTTATCGCTTGTCAAATTTGCTTCATGAGAATCACAACGGCGTGCAAGAAGCATTACGCCGTTCATCTTTGGACAATCATAAAACTACCTAGACTCGCGGAATCGCTTTGAAAGTTTTAGCAGCCTTGAATCAAACATAAAATTATATTTCTACCAATTTTCGTGCTTCTAAGATACCTACGTCTAAAGATATGCCCATTTTTATCAGTTATTGTGCGCCACCTGTACAGTAAACCACGATTAAAAAATGCTTGAGTATTTAGTTTAAGTTTTTGATTTGTTTCAAGTAACTCATTTGATAGCTCCCATCCTCACCTTTTTGGGTCTTGCAAACGGAGCTGGCCACAGTGTATGTGCTCCATCTGTCACTAGACGTGGATGTTGCATCATTGGAATCGTCCTACAGTCACAATTTTCAGGAATCTCCATTAGTGGATTCTGAAAATTTTCTCAGTTTAATTCCCGCTATTTTCTTTCTACACTTACCATTGAAGAATTGTGGCCGGCAAAGTACAAATCAGCCTGTAAAGATTATTTATTAATTTACTAGATATATTCTTAAAGAAGCCAAATCTACTGTGGAACACCACACTCTGAAAAGCCGGTGGAAAATACACACACTCTAATACATTGGTTTTGTGGTTCTGTTCTATATGAAGTGCTTAATTCTGTTTCTTGACAACACGACATTTACAAGGCGGGAGAGATTTGCGGCTTGTACCTGTACATAGCTCTTGGCAGGTGTCGAGTTTTGCGACATTAATGTCATTTCGTATGACTATAAAAAGGAGAAAAAGAAAATAAAATGATTTTGAGATTTAATTTTTTTTGATTGACTCACATTGTTATTGGCAGCTTTCGGACTTGCATTGAACATTGGCATTTCGTTTCGCTGTTGCTGTTCTGCTGCTTTCCTTCGTTTTTCCCGTCGTAGCACCAGTCGTTTGTTCATATAGGAGACGATGGCATACTCCAGAAGAGAAGCAAAAACCATCACGAAACTAGATAAAGGCACTGATTAGTTATAATTAGTCAATCGACCTTACCAAAAGTTAAGAAACACATCCAACCCTTTCACATAGGATACTTTTGGCATCGAATTGTTTGTAGTTGTAATCAAAGTGGTCATTGTGAGCACAGTTGTAACTCCAAGGCCAACACGAGCTGGGGAAGCTTCTCGATTCAGCCAGAATGAAACCCACGAGATGGTGACAATGAGAATGGATGGGATTACAATGTTCATGGTGTAGAAACCCATGTTTCGGACTAGAATCACTTCGAGAGCCAGGCGAACATATTTTCCTGAAAATGAGGATTACCGAAAAATTTGTGATAGGAGGGCCCCGTTTTTCAGCGTCGAGACAATTTTTCTTGGTCCCTGTCAAAAATATCAGGAATCAAGATGTAGATTAGGTCAAAGTAAAGAAGGCGGCGCTTGCACGCTGAGCTACGCGGCGGTTGTCCGACCTATTAATTTTGAGCTCTATTCTCGATTCCTGTGAACGATATCAGAAAGTTGTCAACACTTAAATTTTTCATCATAATGTCAAAAATATTTTGTTAGTTGACCACTTTTTGATATCTGTTACAGAAAATGAGATAAATTGGCTTAATATTAAGAGGTCGGCAGAGGACCGCGTAGCTCGGCAGGCAGGCGCTGGCTTGTCAACTCTGAGGTCATTTTTCTTGGTTCCTGTCAAATATATCAGAAAACTATCAACTGATAAATTGTTTATCATAATATCCAAAGTGTTCTATCAGTTAACACATTTTTGAGATCTTTCATAGAAACCGAGAAAATTGAGCTCAAACTTGACAGCATGGGGGCCCTTCTATTAGAGGCCTTACGGTAGCAATGCACCCTCTAGTTGAAGGGTCCCACTAATTGGAGTTCCCCTCTGATTGAAGTGTAATTCTTAACACACCTGAAGAAGTCTCTGCCTTAGTCGTATTGACAAAGTACAGCGTTGGCTGAAACTGTGGCAATTGGAATGTATCAAATTTGACAGCCGTCGTCTCCAAATCCGTTCGCTTTTTTCCCCAATAGTAGTCGATATCTTTTGTCTGGTACCCGTCTGTAAATGGGCTTTTTCGAAGAAGCTCTCGGCTCTCTCTCTCAGCTGAAGAAGAGATATCTAAGTGGGTTAGGCGTAGCCATCGAGAAGATTTTCAGATATGGAATGCACAAAGAAGTGTGGTGGTGTGTGTTTGGTGGAAGGTGGTGAAGTACAATGAAACGAGAGAACTTTTCGGAGTACGGTTTTCAAAAACTTTTGGAACGAAAAAGGAGGCAAAAGAAAAGATGTTTCGGGAGGGATTTAGAGTATTTGACTGTTCCGTTGCTGCTCCTCAATCTGGCTCAGACGGATGAAATAAGCCCAGTAGCCAACGTTGAAAAGAACGAAAATCTGAAAATGAGACGGACGGTACAAAGAGACAGTTGTGCGGTTACAGAAGGAAACAAGGATCGTGAGTATTTGTCAATGTTCGATGGACGGAGCCATCTCCAGAATCTTCCGAAATCGTCGTCAGTTATGATGGCCGCTGAAAATGACATTGGATGTCTTCCACGTATAGAATCTCACTCTGATAAAGAAATACAGATGCTTGTGAGTTACTTCTCCCGAGCATTGGAGTCAATTCATTAGGCACTGCATCCTCATTCTGTAAAACATGCAAAGATTGTTAGTCGCATAAATGATGCACATACTGCAAATATAATTGTACGCTGAGATTCCGGAATATAAAGATTTGAAGTTCGATCAGTGGAAGAGTAAAACGGACGGTATGTGGTGTTATTGAAGTAGGAAGGCACTGATAGTGTTCGTTTCGGAGGTGCTTCCATTTGTGGAAGAGGTGTTAACATTCTGAAATATTGAGGTAACGATAGATAGAAGAAACATATGAGGTACCTAGACTCTTTACGGGCTCTCACTAGTTTCATTCGTTTGCTGATATAACCGACGGCCGCGTATTCCAGTAGGGAACAGAAGACCATCATGAAACAGACACCTGAAAAAGTTAAAATTCTATAAAGAACGAAGCGATTTTTTTCTTTTAAAGTCGAGTGAATGTGATTACTGCAGCTCTCTAGTTAGCAGCATACAAAATGGCGCCTCGTACTAAAGTTTGTATTTTCAATGACTCCAAACTTTTTTCTTGGCAACGCTACACAAAATCTGCTAACTACGAAAATGTAGCGTCTCGTTTAAATTAAAATATTATTCAAACAAAATTCAAAACTTTTCAATTCTGAATCCGCACGGCTTCATCCAACAAATGACCTACCGGGTTGTGCAATACTTCCCGGACTAAAGTTTGAACGAGCATAAAACTCCAGTCAAGCGTTGTGGTGAGATCAAATTTAAAGTGCGAAAATTAAAGTAATTCATCAGTAAACTGGCCAAATTGCAAGTTATTTTATCAACTGTGAGCTGAGTTATCGCTCTTCAAAGTTGCTTCATCTTATGAAAATCACAAGAAACATTACGCCTTGAATTTTAGACAATCATAACAATACCTAGACTTGAGGAATCGCTTTGAAAATTTATGAAGCTTTGAATCAAACGTAAAAGTATATTTCTACCTAGTTTCGTGCTTCCAAGACATTTATGTCTAAAGATATACCCGTTTTTATCAGTCCGGGTTACTGCGAGTCATCCTGTAATCCTATTTCAATTTAACCATGTCCCTTAACTCTTCCCCCCTTTAACCCAAAATATACCGTACTCCATTTTCATATTCTTCTTGCTAATTAATTTCTTTACCAGTCCCTATCCCTCTGACACTTCAGTTCAAATCGTTAAGTTTTATTGGTATGTCGTCAGTGTGTGGTGACATGTGCGCACGTTTTTAGTTGGCAACAAATCGCCGAAAGCACATGTCATCGAGACACGAATCTCTTTTTCCACAGCTTTACTATCCTCAAGCTTCTTTCTTCTTCTTCTTTTCATTCTTCTTCCAATTTGACGTAATATTGTCCCCCGGCAATTTGCCAGCCCAATAGATTGATGACAACGACTCTGCGACTCACACACTCTTTGGCTCTTTCTCTCTTATGAAACAAGTGTGTAAAAGAAACGACCCGGGAGTGATAAAAGAGAAAAAAGATGAATGTATCGACACCCCGATGGCAACAATTTGTCGCGATGAGACCCCCACGCAATGTATAGGTGAGAAGAAGATAATTGAATTGAAATTGGTGGGAAGATCAGAAATCTATTTGACCTATATCAGCTGACTCACCTAGAAATATATCGATACTTTTCACATATGACACTTTCGGCATCGCACTCTGAAAAAAATGTGATGTTGTAGAATTCAATAGATAATTTAAACAATTACATTCGTCATGGTCATCAGTGTGGTCATCGTGAGCACAGTGGTCACTCCAAGAGCAACTCGAGCAGGTGTGGCATCGCGACTGAGCCAGAAAGAAACCCAGGATATGACGACGATAAGGACAGATGGAAGATAAATTTGGATGATGTAGAAACCAATATTTCGTTTAAACAGAAAGAACCAACACAGGCGGGAGTATTCACCTAGAAACGGGGAGAAATCAGGAGAGAATCAGAAAATTACCTATACTTGCACCTTGAGGTTATTTGTCTCGGATCCTGTGAAAGATATCAAAAAGTGGTCCACTGATAAAATGTTTGTCATAACATCACCTACATTTCATTAATTTCCTTCTTTTTGATATTTGTTAAAGTAACCGAGATAAATGCCCTGAAAGTTGACAAGTCGGCGCTTGCCGGCCTAGCTAAGCGGATGGCTGGCCGACCTGTTAACTTTGAGCAAATTTATCTCGGTTCCTGTATAAGAAATCAAAAAATGTCCAACTAATAAAATGTTACTGATATTATGATAAACAATCTACCAGTTGACTTATTTTTCATAACTTTCACAGGAACCGAGATAAACTGGCTCAAAGTCAAAAGTCAGGTTTTCTGTTTTTTGAATGAGCTACAGTACCAGTCAACATTTTAGGCTTTTGATTACTTTTTGATATTTGTTGCAGGATTTGAGATAATTAAGCTCAAAGGTGGACTCCTATTAGAGCAATTTTTTTGGTCTTACTACCTCTGTCTTTATTTTTGGAATCAGCTTTAATCAAAAATCAGTGTCAAATCAAATCAGTTACTTCTAAAACAAACCTGAGCTCAATTTCTGCGTCTGATTGACAACTTTGATCGATTGCAAAACAAATTGCGGTAACTCATAGGATTCCGTTGACACTGACTTCTTCTCGTGTGAAACGTATACAATGTCCAGGATACTGTAGCCATCTGAAAGCACGCAAAGCGACACGTCACCCACCACGAAGAAGTCGGTTAGAGAGAGTCGGCAAGCGCACTCAGTTAACTTTTTTTTAGATTCTCATGCGCTGATATTGTTTTGGGGGAACTGTGAAAAATCAGAATCAGCTTTTGATTTCTTGCGATGGGTTAACGATAAGGTTACAAAACATAGTTACACTTTGTTAGTTCCATTTTGGATGCAAGAACGCTCCATTGAACATAATTGGGCATGAACCGAAAATTGGCATTAACCGAAAACCAGCAACCAAACGGTTAGATATCAAATGAAATACATATAAATTGAAAATTCGTACTCATACGGAAACAAAACTCACCTGCTGATATTCTGATTCCTGCTATCAGTTATTTTTTCGAATATCTAGATGAAAATTTTAAAATGAAATTACAATTGAAACATTGGGAAGGATGAACAATATGAGGAGAGAATGGAACAATAGAAAAATGGAGGAAATAGAAGAGATGAATACAGATTTTGTCTTTATTCAAATTTCAAAACAAAGCCAAATAGAAAAGGAGGAGGATGAGGATAGGAAAAAAAAAGGAACCTGTGCAATCGACCCTTCTTGTTTTTTTATTCTCTGGCTACAAACGGCACGCCTACCCCACGACTATTGTTGAAAAACACACTCAATAATAGAAAAATGGTTTTTTGAAGAGCACTTACAGCTTTCGATTTCCAGCTTGCAATGTTGAGAGTCCATTGGGAACAGTTTTAGATCCATTGGACACGTTGCGGTTACTGTTAATCTGTAAAATGGATATAGGGGTTTTTGAGGTTTCAGAGAGTTTGAAATTAGAATGTTTGGAAATTTTTCAGAAAATATCATATAATGAGAAGGGTAAAGGTACTGTAGCTCATTCAAAATGAGATATATGAGCTCAAAGAAAAGATCGGCAGCCGACAGTGGAGTTCGGCCGGCCAGCGCCAGCTTGTCAACTTGGAGCCCATATATCTCGGTTCTTGTAACATATAAAAAAATGTAGTCAACTGATAAAATATTGCTGATATTATGAACAACATTTTATTAGTTTTCACATCATATTTCACAGGAACCGGGATAAATTAGCTCAAAGTTAAAAAGTCGGCGCTTCCAGCTGAGCAACGCGGTCCGACCTCCTAACTTTGAGCATAAATATCTCGGTTCCTGTGAAAGATATCAAAAAGTTGTCAACTAATAAATTGCTTATCATAATATCCCAAATATTTTATTACACATTTTTTGTATCTTGCATAGGAGCCAAGAAAAACAAGCCAATCCCTTTTTTTCTTCTAGTTCAAACTACGTCCCTCTTTTTACCCTTTTCTCATTTTCTCTCAACTCCAGAACGCATTTGGCAACTTTCACGAAATGATTCATAAACCATTTCAATAATCCTTCTTTTTCTCTCTCTTCTGACCACTACCCGCTCGTAAAAAGTAGCCGTAAAAATGAAACATCATCTAATCCTTTGTGGTCCCTTTTTCTTTCTTTTTTTTCGTACTGCTCTCCTTGAATGGGTGGTATTAGAGAGTGATATCAAGATGGTGGCTACTAAGAGATTATTTTAAAATATTTCTTTTTTCTTTATTCTCTCTTTTCCCCCCTCCCTGATTACCTTTGACTAGTATAAACTGTTCCATCACTGTCAATTCGAAGAAATGAGTTGTGGGTTGTTGCCAAATGGAAGAATGATTTTTTCTCATTTGGAAAGAAGGTGTCCGGTTTCCAGAGTTTGTCTAAATAATCCACTCCTACAGTCAACGAATCGATTTCTTTGGATAATCCCAAATCGAGACTTCCGAATGCTAATCGAGGATCCTGCCATGTTTGACGCATATAGAAGTCTAGTGTGAAATCCTAAAAAAAACCTTCTTTTGGAATTTCATGCCTTCCAATAATAAACGAAAATACTGTATTTGCTCTTATATGCTCTTATATGGCAGCTTATATCCGCACTTTGAGCATATATATCTCGGTTCCTATAAAAGATATCAAAAAGTTATTAATTGACAAAATGTTTATCATAATATCAGTACTATTTTATTAGTTGACTATTTCTTGATAACTATTACAGGAACGAAGATATTTGGATTAATAATCGGCTCCTGTCGGTTGACCTACGCGGTCGGCTGCCGACATCTTATCTTTGAGCCAAATTATTTTGGTTCCTGTGAGGGATAACAAAAGGTGATTAACTAATAAAATGCTTATCATGATATCAGAAACACTTTGTCAGTTAAAAACTTTTCATGTCTTTTACAGAAATCGAGATAATTGAGGTCAAAGTAGACTGCTTGGGTGGCACTCTATTAGAGTGTTTACGGTATCTGTCCAATTTGATTTTTCCTTTTCGATGCTTTTCCTTAAATTTATATTTTTCTACCAAAACCAAAAGTCTGACCCCATGTTTTTCTTTATGAATAAAAATAGGAAGAATCTCATTGTTATGAACACAAAGGAAACAATAAAAATACATAACGTGCTTGTTTTGGTGTCTGCCTTTCAAAAGGATTTTAAGAGATTTTTGCTCTTGGAAAATGTTTTTTTTGGAATCTAAACTTTAAAACGATAAATCTGAATTCTATAAAAGCAAATATTAATACTAAATTTAAATTGAACTGGGGTGTTAATTGGAACAAGAATAAAACTTTTGTCAGACGAAACACGGTAAAACTCTGGTGTACGATTACTGTAGATCACTGTAGAAATGCTTTTTCTCAATTCCAATTCCGAAATGTTCTCTTACCATATCCACTTCTGAAACGGCTGAAATTGACGAGACGTGTATCGTGATTCCTACATCGACAGGCTTCTCTCCATACCTGAATTCCCAACATTCATTTATGTTTCAAATTCCCCGATTTTTTCAATAATTACCTGGGCCGTAATCTTTTATCATAAGTTGTTCGATTTGTTAACCTATCAAGAACTGATGATAGAAGTGCAGTGTTGATATGTGAGTCCCTGCAAAAAGAGATATCTCTTGAGTAGAAGTGCATTTTGCAGCCGACCAAATCGGGTTGGAAGCTATCTCCCAAAATGTCTTTTCTCTTGTAAATTCAATTTCTACAATTTCTACCGCCACCAACGTTTTTTTTTCTCGTTTCATTGCGTCAAATAGGAGATAGGTGTTACAAGAAAACGGAACGACATGAGAGTGAAATTGACAATTTCTATCTTGTCAGTTGGCGGAAATTGGATTTGATGACGACGATGCTCTGGTGTTGGTGGTTGGGATGGGATGTAATAGAATCTCTCTTTTAAGAAAAGAAGAACAAGATACATGTTCTTTTTTATTTTTTCCTTCTTATTTAATTTTAGGAAAAGTCACTGGGGAGGAAGAAATATATGGGAATGGACTTTTGGAAGAGGAGGAAGAACAAATTCAATTTTCAGTAGTTTTTTCTGATCAATTTGAAATAAATGGATTGGTTCGTGAATGACGAAAGTTTTGTATTTATGATAGTTCATGATACAATTTAGGATTTATGGCTTGGAAAGATCAAGAGGAAGATATTACAAAAATTCGACTCAACGTACGCCCTCTTATAGAAGCCCACCTAAACCGCTTATTTTGAGCGCGGTTTTCTCGATTTCTGTGAAAGATATCAAAATGGTGTCAACTGACAAATTATTTATCATAAGACCACCAATAGTTTATCTGTTTACAACTTTTTAATATTTTTGATAAGAATTGAGATAATTGAGCTCAAGGTTGACGAGCTTCTCGCTGAGCTTCTAATGGATAAAAGAGGGGTTTTTGTATTTCTAATTTACAGCAGATAATATGAAAAAAGATTTGGAATATCGCCAATTTGAAATTTTGAAATTCCTATCAAACAAGAATTTAAAAATTCAAAATTCAAAATCATATTCTGGTGTAAAATTTTTAGACTTTTTCAGTTGCATACACGGTAGCGAGTAATTACCCGAACTAAAGTTTGTACTAGCATAAATTTTGAGTAGAACGTTGTACAGGGCTCACACTTTGAGTGCGAAAATTCGAATAATTCATTAATAAACTGGCCGAATTTTAAATCATTTGATCAATTTGGAGCTGAGTTATTACTTGTCAAAGTTGCTCCATTTGATTAAAATCAAAAAAAGTGCGCAAGAAAAATTACGTCATTCATCTTTAGGCAACCATAACAAAGCCTAGACTTGAAGAATCGCTTTGAAATTTCAGTAGCTTTGAATCAGAAATAAAATTGTATTTCTACCAATTTTCGTGATTCCAAGATACTTGTGCCTGATGATATACCCGTTTTTAACGGTAATTATGCGCCACCCTGTATTTCAAATTTCGAAATAGTCCTTCCTATAAGAAAGAGTCTTTCCTATGAGAGTGGGAAACTAACTAGGGAGCTACCTGAACATGTCCCCGAGTTACACTTCATGACCTATATCATTAGAAAGCCCATGAAATTCTGATTCGGAATATGTTTTCTGTTTCTGCGAAACGGCGGTGAGCTTCGAGAAAATTAGGTCAAAAGATAATTTGTTCGTAAATGTTAGTACTGAAACCTGTCAATTTCGCATTG